ATCCCTGGAGTCAAATTAAGCAAGGGGAAAGTCCCTATTGAATGAATACAAATGCAGAGCCTTCTTTGAACTTGTGTTCTCCTACAGTGTGCTGGGTGGGTGAGAGTCACTAGGCTGTGAACTGCAAATCAGCCCTGAGTGCTCACTGGAAGGATAGATCCTGAAGAGGAGGGTCCAATATTTTGTCCACTTCATGAGAAGAGAGGACTCCCTGGAAAAGACACTGATGTTGGGAAAGTTTGAGGGCACAAGGAGAAGGGAATGGCAGAGGACGAGATGGTTGGACAGTGTTCTTGAAGCTACAAACATGAGTTTGACAAAACTGCGGGAGGCAATGGAAGACAGGAGTGCCTGGCATGCTCTGGTCCATGGGGTCACGAAGAGTCGGACACGACTAAATGACTAAACGACAACAACAACAGACCTATTTGGATTTAGACACAGGAAGGAACCCACTTTCTGTGCATTTTGATTTTTTTAAAATGGGAAATAAGTAGAAACAGTAACTGGATAGTAATCTCCAGAGATAAAAATATCACTTGAATGCTTTGGAACAGGTGGTTAAGGAGATGGAGTTGCCAGATATGTTGAAGCCTCCCTGAGGAATCCTGCTTTAGAAGAGAAATCCAAGGGAAGATACTGTTAAGGGATTTGGATTGGGCTGGGTATCATTGTGGGATCCTCTTCAACCCTGTTATTCTAGAGATGAAAGACTGGGATATGGAGAAGGGAAGACTGCTAATATGGGCAGACTAGTTCCTTGGTCAAGTCTTCTCTTTTGTAATATAAGCTAGGACAATATGTTTCCATTGGAACTAAAGAGCTGGAAAGCATAAGTAAGGCAAAGTAGCTATACTTTCTTCCTTCCTCACCTGGTTGGATGTGATATCATTGAAAGATGCATGTCTGTGGGCAGTATAAAAGAACAGTAGACAACTGGTGCTGGTGACTTGCAGTCTGTGAAGATCCAAATGCTAAAGTGCTGGGGTTCCCCTAGAAATCTGATGGGAATCAATATCTTTTGGAGCTAATGCTGTTAACCCCCATCTTATTCTCAGCCTGTATTTATAGCACTAAAATATAATATATTTTCAGTGACGTAATTTAAATGAATCCAATCCAAGGTACGGACTGAAACCTCTGAAATGCCTTCCTGCTTGAATATGGGGCATATATAATGGTACCTTTACAGAAGTTCCACAGATGTATAGCAACACAAAATAATGGTTTATTTCCATAATGGAAAAAATACTGTATCCATGAAATATTGCACTAACAGAGATGCCACGGCATAGGTCAGGTGTGACAACAGGAGTCAGATTCACTTGAATAAAAGTTTGATACTGAGTTCCATGTTGAATATTATCATTGTGCATTATACCTAACTCAGAAATGACTGTGCAGCTTCAATACTTTTTCCATGTCTATAGAAGAAATTTGAGATGAACACTACTGTGCTTAGTATTTACCTATAGAAGCTGGCTTCTTTCACATTGTGTTCTAAAGTGCTTCATATTATTTTCAAGATCATTTTTAGAGGACTTTTTATAAATTATTCTGCCATCGTTGTGCAAAGGGAACTAAGGGTGGAAATAAAAGGTAGTTGTAGACTATTTTTGTTGTTCTCCATGGGGAAACAGACTACAAGTTTTTATGAATAGGAACTTGCTTTGCCCATGAAACAAAGGTTGCTGAAAGCCGATGTGCTGCCTGTGTGATTGATAAATTTAGGTTGTGCTGGTTGAGTGGAACTGTTCAAAGAACAAAGTCTTGTGCTAGGATACATTATCTTTTGCCATCAAAGGGCAAACCACTCTGTCAAGGAACAGCAAGTCAATCTACCACAGCAAATAATTTGGCTATTACTCATAGACAGCAGATTCACCACTGCCTTCTGGAAAAAAACTGTTACCTTTTCCAGAACATTTCCCCTGTCGAGAATTAAGAAGCGTTATTAATTTGGGACAACTTACGATGCTCAACACGTGTGCAGAGCGCGCTGAGGGGAAACTCTACTCTCTGCCTCCTCTCCCTCAGCTTGTCTTTCCCTGTCTGGGTAAAATGTGATAGGCTAGGACATGATGTAATTTGTTTCAAAGATAAATTATGTGGCAATTTATTCCAAAGGACAATTGGGTGACTAATCTTCCACCATTCCTGACACACAGCTGTAGTAAAATGCAGATCAGGTTGGTTGTTTTAAAGGGGGAAGCATTTAATTTGTTTTTTTATTTCCAGCATAAGTGAGCTAGCTAATGAAATATTTGTGAGCCTCCTGGCATGTGATAACATATTTCCTATATCTAAAAGTGTTTTGCCAGATGTAGTATTTGATTTGATTTACAAGCTCATCCAAGAACAAGATAAATGATGACATTAACTCCAGTTCTAACTATTGGCCTCCCCTCTCAGTCTTTTATCAGCAAACAGGGACTGTTAGGATTCTGGGCACCAATCCATATCTTTAAACATTTAATACTAATAAGGTGTAATTGACATGGAATTCAAGCAAACAGGCTCTATTAAGGCTATCGCTTCTAAGAAACTAACTTTTTGTGTGAAAGCATCTTACATAGAATGTGAAATAAATCAAAGCCCTGGCCTAATTGTGCAGCTTTACAGCATCATTTTTAGAATATTGGTCTCTTTTGTGTAAGCTTTAAATGCTTATTGATTTCTTCCAGTTTGAGGCAACTTCCATGGAAAAATAAGATCCCACATGAAGAAGCAAGCTGATGGCAGTTGGACATTAACATAAAGCTGTTTTGATCAAAGCAGCACAAAGCTGGTGCAGCACATTGTCTCATTTTTTAAAAGCACTTTCATAAAGACAAGTATACACCGTGTCATTTTGTACAACTCTATGACCTGGGTGCGACGTTGTTTTTTTGTCTTATGACAAACATCTTATGAAACACATCCTTGCCATTGCAACCTAATACAGCATTCATGCCGTTTGAATTCCTGTTTTCTAAATAACTCCTGTCTTGTTACATCCTGGCCACTTTTGACATGCCAAAACCAACTCAGCATGAGTTTGGCGGTCTGGCTGGAGGTTTCTGTCCCCTCCCCACAAAACACAGAAGACTCAGACACACTGACCAGATGTCTGGAAGCTGTGGCTGGATGGTTACGTGGGAGCCGGTTGAAGTTAAATCCTTCGAAGACAGAGGTCCTCTGGCTGGGACGGGACGATATGGGATTGAGGGGGCAACTCCCATCTCTTGCGGTGGTGCAATTAGTGCCAGCACCGTCCGTTAAGAGTTTGGGTGTAATCTTTGATACCTCCCTCTCTATGGAGGCACAGATTACAGCTATAACAAAGGCGGCATTTTTTCATCTACGCCAAACTAAGCAGTTGGCCCCTTATCTCTCTCGCCCTGACCTAGTCACGGTGATCCACGCGATGGTCACCTCCAGACTGGATTATTGTAACTCACTCTACGTGGGGCTGCCCTTGAGACTGACCCAGAAACTCCAGCGGGTGCAGAATGCCGCGGCGAGACTCCTTATGGGGTCTTCGCTACGAGATCACATTCATCCAGTACTATACCAGCTGCACTGGCTCCCGGTGGAGTACAGGATCAGGTTTAAGGTGCTGGTTTTAACCTTTAAAGCCCTATACGGCCTAGGACCCTCGTACCTACAGGACCACCTCTCCTGGTATGCCCCACAGAGGAACCTACGGTCTGCAAATAAAAACATCCTGAAGGTCCCAGGCCTCAGAGAGGTTAGGCTGGCCTCAACTAGAGCCAGGGCTTTCTCAGCTGCGGCTCCAATCTGGTGGAACGCTCTGTCACAAGAGACCAGGGCCCTGCGGGACCTGACATCTTTCCGCAGGGCCTGCAAGACAGAGTTGTTCCACCAGGCCTTTGGTCAGGGTGCAGCCTGACTCCCTCCTCTGGCAACCTGCACAGAATTTTGCTTAACAGTTGCCATTAATTTGATTTTAATTAATTTTTATAATGAAATGTTTCTAGAATGTTGGATTATTTGATTGTTTGATTATTTGATTGTTGTTAGCCGCCCTGAGCCCGGCTTCGGCTGGGGAGGGCGGGATATAAATAAAATTTATTATTATTATTATTAAATTATCTGAGATTATTTCTGTGTTTACTATGGCAGCGACAAACTTTAGTATCTTTTGGTTACCTCGGGTTCTGAGAGTGCCTTGCTCATTGTCTATAGAGAACAGTAGGCACCAGATCATTTAGACTGTAACTTATTTACTGACATGGATGCCAACCAAATGCTAATTTCTATCAAGTGGGATGTAAATTATTCTAAGAGAAAAGCCATGTGGTTCAGGAAATAGGTTCACTCTCAAGTTACAGAGTTCAGATCCATGGAGTTGTCACTTGCCGATTTTTTGAAAAACGTACAATGAACTTGCTTCACTTTTCTAGTAGAAAAACAATCAGTGTCAAAATTCATTAAACTTGAAGCCTCAGAGGCTGGATTCAGATGTAAAGCAAATCCATGGTTTGTGCAAACCATTGTTAAGAACCATATCATTGTTTGATCATCTACATGTATAACAGACAACCAGTGCTTGTCTGCTTTTGTTTCCCATCTATTCAGGACCCAGCTTAATAAGTCCACTTGAATCTCCAAGAAGGGAGGAGAGATGAGGCACAACAGACACAGGGCTTGTTCATATCTCAGCTTGATAAGCCAAGATATATGTTTGTGAAAACTGAGCCATTAAAAGAAACCATAGTTTACCTAAACAAGCCATGGTTTCATGTTACATTTTTGTAACATGATATGTAACATGAGATATGTAACATGATACAGATATGTAACATGAGAATCCTAAAATGTCTTAGAAGCAGCTTGAACTGCTTCTATGTCAGTACTATGGTTAAATATACATTACTGAAAGCTGTCGGGGGAAGTACCAGGCTAGGGCTTTCTGCTGGTTGATACTAATAATGGGTTAGATTTTGTTTTTGTTTTATGTCATCTTCCATCATTATGTGCTTTCTGGTCTTGGATAGGGCAAGTTTACCGCTTCTGCACACTGGAGGGCACGTGGCTGCTGGAGGAAAATTCCACCATTCCATGGAGGAACATATCTGAGTGTATGGCTACTGATGAAGTAAGTGCCTAAGATTTTGCTGAAATAGTCACTAGCCTGTATGCCACATCCTCTGTCCCCAGAGACTGTTACAGCAGTAGTAATGGTAGTGATGTTTTTTAGATGTAAGTTTTCTGTTAGGTAATAAAGCATGCTACCCACTGCTGGTTGCTCGAATTCAGATTGTTTCAAAGCTTCAGTGGAATTAAAACAAGTAGCATGGGCATGGCATTCTTTGGCCCCAATGTTTATCAGGGCTGATACCAATTATTGCAACCAGTATAGAGGCTGCAAATGTTGAAGGAAATTCCTTGCATGTGTGACCATAGGGGGGAGAAAGCAAGATAATACACTGACAATGTGGTATAATTCTGAGTGGTTTCTCCCTTTACAAGATACTTGTGAAAGGCAATGGAAAATGGATGGGGTTGCAAAACTCATCTTTTTAGCAGTTTTGTATTTTCATTTACATTGCCTTCAGCTGGGCAGTACCGACTTAGACTATTATAATAACCACGTGGACTTTTTTGGAGGAACTCTGTGAACACGCATCAGCTTAAACCATGGGTAGGCAAACTAAGGCCCGGGACCCAGATCTGGCCCAATCGCCTTCTAATTCTGGCCCGCGGACGGTCCAGGAATCAGTGTGTTTTTACATGAGTAGAATGTGTCCTTTTATTTAAAATGCATCTCTGGGTTATTTGTGGGGCATGGGAATTAGTTCATCCCCCCAAACAAAAATATAGTCTGGCCCCCCCGCAAGGTATGAGGGACAATGGACCAGCCCCCTGCTGGAAAAGTTTGCTGACTCCTGCCTTAAACCAAAAGATTTCAATGCTCAGAGGTTTCTGAAGTAGTCTGTGTTGCCCCACAAAGTTTTGCAACAAGCCAAAGTACTTGCAAGCAATTTGTTGGAAACTTAAGAAAGCTTAAGAAAGCTGAATGCAAAGCTGTATAAATGTTCCTCATCACATGAAATTAGTTGGGGGCAGTCCAGTGGAAGTCAGACTACCATAATTACTATTGAACATAAATATAGCACTTCAGAGTTTGCAGCACAGTAATCTTCACAACTAGGAACGTGGGTGGCGCTGCGGGTTAAGCCACAGAGCCTAGGACTTGCTGATCAGAAGGTCAGCGGTTTGAATCTCCGTGACGGGGTGAGGTTAAGAGATGGAGGGCTGCTTAGAACCACCTTGTGATCCTCCACGACAAAGGTGAGATTGAAAGTGGTGATTTTCAAGCTCATTTTAGACATCATGCTACATCAGCGTAGGGGTGAAGTGCATGCTCTCAGGGATAATCTTCTGGAGGTCAGAAACAAACATTATAAGGGTCACTTTTCTTTCTTTCTGACATTCCCTTCTCTCTTTCTCCCCATGCATTGGGCTGCTGGGGGAGAGATAAGCCATTTCTACTGCAGGTCTGAAGGGCTTTTGTCCTGCCTCCTCCCTCCAAAGGTTTAAACTTCCATTCTCTCCCCCCCCACTACCTTCTTGTCCACCTCTCCCTCTGGGCTCTTCCAGCCAGCATGAAATTAGTCTAAGGGTCACATGTTACCGACCGCGGTCTACATTGCCATGTTACGATTATTCAGCAGAAGTGGGAAGAATACAAATAGAGAACAGGGCAGGAGAGAAATTCTGCAAGTTTGAAGTGAGGTTAATTAAAATGCAGGAAATCCCCAAGCTTGCTTCCCCATCTATTTTCTCATTCTTTTGAATGCCTGTGACATAGCTGAAGATGATGTTCGGAGAAGCTGAATTGCTGTAATACAAACCACATGCAGGGACCTTTTTTCGTCTCCATTGGCTGTTTAAAAGATTATTTCACAGTTGTGTAGAAAGCTGCCAACAAGACAGATGCTTAACGACAGTGCTTGGTCGTTTGGCACCTGTCTCGTTTCCATAAAATAGAGTGCTTTGGGGGGTAATGATTTAGAAACCCTGAATACTGTGTTGTGTCCTGAAATGTAAATACTGATTTTTATTTTCAATTTTAGACAACCCCACCAACTTATTCTCACACTGTTTAGAGCCATAGATAAAAATAGAACTCAGAACAACCTTTAGATTTGGGTAGGGTGAAGGTCATCATGTGGCTTGGCTGTAGCTGTCCTTGAGCATGAAATCCAACTGGAAAGATTGAAGCTCAGAGGAATGGTCACAGACTAACAATTGGTCCAGGCAGAGCTCATTAAAATAAATGGAAGTTCTGCCAGTGACTTATGAATTTCACCTATAGTTCTGCTGCTCGTGTCTTAAGTTTGTGCCCTTTGCAGTTTCAAACTAACTCCATGCCTTGGTTATTAATTTAAAGTTGGCTGACACATGTAGTTACTGCTCTCCCTTCTGTTCTGAATTCTTCTTTCCTTTTCCAAATTAGTCTTCCCTTTAAAAACAGCAACACCCCTCCACACAATCCAAATCACTCACAAGACATTTGGGTGGCATATCTCATATACCGCCAGCTCACGTGATCCTGGAGAATTTCCCCTTTCCTGTGTGAGAGGAGGCAGCACTCTGTTTGTACAGGGGACAAAACACCACTCCAGTATCAAGATACAAAATATAAGGGCCAAATTAGGCTCAATAACAGACTTCCATATTTGGGTTTGAGTTTCATTTTATTATTTTCATGTAATGAGTTTTTAAGCTTTCAGGATAAGTTATGCTCCCAGGGCACATCGTCCTGAACAAAAAAAAGAACACATGGTTTTGGGATTGGACTTGGATATATTGGACTTGATGTTTGTGATCTGTACTACTTGCCTATGTTTTGTATAAGATTGTTGGCTTTGCAGTTCTGTTTATCCACTCAACTATGCCTTGCGTTGACGATCTGCTCATCTTAAAGGATTTTGAGGAAGCTGGGTTCGTCCAATAACTATATCCTTCCATTGCGTTCTTATGTTATCTTCTTTTAGGACTCACCAGAAGGCCACATGCTATTCCTTTCTGCCATCTATACCACTGGATATGCTCTTTCCTTCTCGGCCCTTGTCATAGCCACTGGCATCCTCCTGGGGTTCAGGTAACCTTGATATGCCTACAAAGAGTCATGAACTCCAAATTGTAAATAGCATTTGACTAGTACTAATGTTGCAAAATTTCAAAAACCTCAAACGTTTGAATGCAATAAAATGGGAAGTCAAAGGCAGCATAAAGGTGAGCTTCACATAAACGGTGGAGGAGTTTAAAGAGTTTGTTGTAAACCATTGCATACATATAGTGGGGAAACTGTGGTGCAAGAATAGAGTGCCCAAGTTCGCTGTGTTATAACCAATAGTGATAATATTTTGCCTTCATCAGTCAGAACCATACTGGGCTATCACTTGTTCTTGGTGTGCTGCACATCGGAAACAGCTGATATTTGTGCTTAATAGAGAGACATAAACTCTCCTGCCCCCCTCCCCCGAAGAGGTATTAGTTTGATGCTATAGTAACAGATGTAAACCCTGAAATCACTATTAACTCAGATATGGCTGAACTATTGTGTAGGAACATTTTGCTTTGTATCATAGACAGAACATTTTTATTTCGATAGAGGGACAAAACTGCCTTGCTCTACTGCACATTTCTTTTCAGATGGGGTTTGTTATTAGGTGGCAGAAAGACAAAGGGAGAAGAAATGTTTGAGATTCTTGAATAAAGGATTGCTGTTACATTGATACTGGGTTCTAGCTACTGAGTTGAATTTTTTTTTCTTTTTGACAGGTTGTGATTTCTGTTCTCCTAGAGCATGACTGAGATTCATAATGAATGTTCATTGTTACTTATTGTGAGCCTAGAGAGGAAATCATGCTCCCACAACAGTCCATATAGTTCTTAAGTGGCATATCGGTATAGAGGCTTATCTTGCTTTTCAAACAATAGGTAGTAAATATCAGAACTTCTCTTGATGCTTCTGCCACAGCCCCCTGCAGATTTTCCCAGTGCACAGAAAGCTAAGGCATGCCTCACGAAATGCATTTCTTTATCTAAAGAGATTTGAAGATCAGTATAAAAAACTCTGTTCTTTAAATCCCTCTCCTGTGACCACTTTAGTAAAAATTCAAAATAGTTCCCCACTTCTCCACATCTTTTTTAGTCTAAATGTGGTTTGGAGCTTCTCGGGGTGAAGGCATTATAAGTTTTCCTTTGCCTTCAACATAAGAAGAAATCCCTGCAGCTATTCCTGAATTATATGCCAAGTGACTCATTTGCCCACTTCAGTTTTGAGCGGAGTCCCCTTGTTGCCCTGTTCGACAATTGTTACAGCCTACACGTTTGAGTAACTTAAACATGATAATTATTTTTCAGGCATCTGCACTGCACCAGGAACTACATTCACTTGAACCTTTTTACCTCATTTATCCTCCGTGCTATATCCATCTTCATTAAAGACTCCGTGATAACTTGGATGTATAGGACAGCCCCTCGTGAACAGCAGTGGGAGAGTTTATTCTCTTATCAGGTAAGGGGATGAGGCCAAAACACCTTTAGTATCAGTGATCCTGTGACTCAATATATTTGTATTTAACTTTCCATCTTCATTTGAAGGAAAAGGTGCCCTGGGATGTCTTGTTAGATTTGCACGCTTCTGGAGGTTTGCTCTCAGTGCTAGTCTTCCAACTGTCACAATTTCAGTTGTGAATGATTTTTCTGATACAGTTGAAATCTCCCTTGGTGCTCTTGTTGTATAAAACTTTTCCTCTGTGCTCCATTTTATTTGTCATTTTCTTTCCCTGAGATGAGAAGGATGCAACCAATTCTTTTTCTGACAAGTGTCTGTTGAACTATGTCTCTTTAGCTACTATTCCAATATCCCAACAAACATCTAGAAATATTACCTCAAAAAACCAAAGACTACGTTGGCAAAGATACCAGAGTTTTCCCAAAGCAGAAGGTCTGGGATTCCTGAACAGTTCTGCCCTGTCCCATTATTAGACTTGGTAAACAATTCCACTTTGTTTTGATATTTGAACTGTGTCAGCCAAAAAAGTGGGAATTCAGTCCTCTCTGTTCCCTGATTTTGTGAGGACTGACCATCCCTGCTTTTACACTGATCGGTAGCTGTGAGAAATGGCTTGGATCCTGAGAGACTCAAACAGTAGGAAGGTTGCCAAAGGGGACTTGCCTGCCTCCTGCACTCCCTGAAAGCTTCTCTGAAGAGTTGGAGAGACTCTCTTGGATAGTATGGGATGAGGCATTCAATGAGAAAAGAGGAAATTGCCAAAATTGAGCAGAGGTCCCTTATACAGGTGGGCTTCCACTTGAACAAGGTGCCTCTGTCTAATTTTAGATGACTTTCCTCACCAGCCCATCCTGCCATGTTTAACAGGGGCCTCTGACCCTCTGAATAAGCTTTTCATAGACAGATACATAGGTATATGTACACACATACTTGGGGGATGTAGTGGAAAAGCTATGCTCCTGTTGAATTTGTTCTCTTTTGTTCAAAATACAATTGACACTCTCAGAAGGTTTTTTAAAAATGCCATTTCTAGCCAAGTACTGGCTGGGGGAATCTAGTATCTGTTGTGTCACATGCACTCCTGCTTTTGCTTCCTTCTCTTTCACAATGCATCCTGTATTTGCTAATTTCTCTGTTCTGTTTCAGGAGTCACTTAGCTGTCGCTTGGTCTTTGTGATGATGCAGTATTGTGTGATTGCCAACTACTATTGGCTGTTGGTGGAGGGAATGTACTTGTATACGCTGCTGGCACTATCTGTTTTTTCTGAGCAGAGAATCTTTCGTCTCTACCTTTTTGTTGGCTGGGGTAAGTGAGTCTCTCCTCCTTCCCCACCCGCCACCGTTTTTAATGAAAAAGTGCATTTCTCTGCTTGAGTGCTCTAGGATAAATGAAATTGAAGCAGGAGCAGGGGTAGCATTGTCTTTTGCAGTAAAAGAAGTACTAACCATTTGATCTACTTTCTGTTCTCTTTTTGCTGCTAAACTCAGATGCCTCTTTAAGACAACAACATAGCCATCATTTTTATACTTGTGTTAGGATCTTCTTCTGCTAGGCTTGGGCTTGCTACTCTGCCACCCATCAGTGGTGAGGATGGTCTACTTTTAAGAAGCATGCAAAGGGGCAGGGATGAAGCTGCTCTCAAGTGGGCCACAATGATAGCCTTTCTTGTAGCGTACGTGACATGCTCTATCTATGCCTTTACTTTCAAAGAGAAAATAATAGGATTCTTTGTGGAAGAGAGTGCTCAGCTGAGCATTACACAATACTCATTTCCAAGGGAGTGTATGAAGACCAGCAAACCAAATCTCTATTAACCGCACTATGATTTTGCCAACCAATTGTAGTTCAAGTGGCTTTTGCCATGAAAAGGCTATCTGCCTGGTAGTTATATACATTGCAAAATTGGGGCTGACCAGGCAAGAAATGTATCACATATATCAGGCACATTCTTAATATCCGTTTGTCAAACTATTATGAAGTCTCTGTGATAAATTATCCATTAGCCTTTGGAATTCTTGAAATGTGATTATTATAATAGTGATGCTTAGCACAGAGCTCAGTCACAAATGCAAAACTTTGGTAATCATCTTGCTGCTTTATTTTAATGTTCCTAGCATTTGTGGTTGTGCCAGCAATGTTTGCTAAGAGCTCTGGAAACAGAAGGCAGTGCTTAAAGAACAGGACTTCCTGTGCATCTTTCATATCTCCTCCCCCCCCATCCTGAACCTGATCAATAATTTCATAAAGCATCTGATTGCTTGCTACTAGATTGAATTAGGAAAAATAAGGACAGCGTCTGCTAATTTTCCTTATTTGTATCATTCTAGCTTATACCATGTTGATTCTAGTTTATACTGTGACACCAATTTTCTGCATGGCTACTTAAATGTTTTAAATGTATTTTGACTGAATCATATGTATGAAATAATCAATACACATTGAAGATTATGCTGAACAATAAACCACATAGGGTTGCCATGTGTCCTCTTTTTCCAGGATACATCTTCTCTTTCAGGGGTAAAATTTGAGACAAATTGCATTTACTTGCTTTGAATGACCGTCATAGCGTCCTCTTTTTTGCTCTTCAAAATATGGCAACCCTATTATAGTGGAGGAAATGTTTATATTTACTATTGTCCTTTTTTAGAATGCTTTGAGAGGCTGAAGACTTAGAAGGTTAGATTGCATTTTAGACTTTGCAGTTATAAGTGCTTTTATTACAGACCACCCTTTTATTTGTGTTCTCATTTGGTTTGGTTTTGAAAGTAAAAATAGCGGGATGTTGTTAAAGTTCTTTGGTTTATCCAACTGTGTGTTTCATGATGTTTAGATATTTTGCAACACACACAGTGTATACAAAACAAAAAACACAAATCACTTTACCAGCATGCAAGACAACATACATAAGCAGAGCCTCCTGAAACTTGCTATTCCAGAATATAATGAGTAATGCCCACTTTTCAATAAATGTATTTCATAGAATTGTGAGTTGGAAGGGACCCTGAGGGTCATCTAGTCTAGTCCTCTGCAAGGCAGGAATCTCAACTAGAACATACCTGTAAAGAGCCAGTGTGGTGTAGCGGTTAAGAGCGGTAGATTCGTAATCTGGGGAACTGGGTTCGCGTCTCTGCTCCTCCACATGCAGCTGTTGGGTGACCTTGGGCCAGTCACACTTCTCTGAAGTCTCTCAGCCCCACTCACCTCACAGAGTGTTTGTTGTGGGGGAGGAAGGGAATGTTAGCCGCTTTGAGACTCCTTCGGGTAGTGATAAAGCGGGATATCAAATCCAAACTCTTCTAAATGACAGACAGCCATCCAACCTCTGCTTAAAAACCTCCAAGGAAGGAGAATCCACCACCTCTTGTGGGAGTCTGGTCCACTGTCAGACAGCTCTTACTGTCAGAAAGTTCTTCCTGATGTTTAGTTGGAATCTCCTTTATTGTAACTTGAATCCATTGGTTCAGGTCCTAGCCTCCAGAACAGGAGAAAACCAGCTTGCTCCATCTTCCATGTGACAGCCCTTTATATATTTGAGGATGATTGCGACATCTCCCCTGTCTCCTCTGTACCAGGCTAAACATAGTCAGTTCCCTCAACTGTTCCTCATAAGGCTTGGTTTCCAGACCCTTGATCATCTGGGTTGCCCTCCTCCCGCGTTCCAGCTTGTCAATATCCTTCTTAAACTGTGGCACCCAGAACTGGACACAGTACTCAGGTTGTGGTCCGAATAAGGCAAAATAGAGTGGTACGATTACTTTCCTTGATCATGAAACTATACCTGTGTTAGTTTGGTGTCATCTGCAAATTTCTTGAACCTTCAGTACTTCACCCCACTTGTCACTTTTTTCCAGGATGACGAGGAACCATTAGTGAGCACTCTTTGGGTTTGACGAGTTAACCAGCCACAAATCCACCTAACAGTTACCTTGTCCAGTCTACATCCAGCATGCATCCTTTTATAGTCAGGTCGTTTAATCATAATCGTTTAATTGCAACAGTTCATCTATGAATAACCAATCTGAGATTAAAGGAGCTGTATTGGTTCTTGCCCTACCGCCCAATTACATTCTCTGCATAACCTGGCAGCAGTGAGTAGATTAGCCACTATCTCTGAATCAGTCTTATCAACCAGATTTTTTAAAATAATAAAACAATGCTACCTTTAGGTCATGTGGTATCATGTAGATTGTCATTTCAGTAATCGAGAATAGTTAGCATAGTTGTCCAAACATTTTGTATTGTTGAGATGTCTAGAATATATGGGGGATGGGGAACCAGCATGCATTGAGTTGCAACAACAACAGCAGATTAATACAGCTTAAGCTACATGGTGTCCAATACCACTGAAATTGTATTTCACAGATATGTTGCATTTTTAATGTCTAAATTGCTTTGGCAAGTTTTTGCCCTTCTGCTGGTTCACCTTGTGGTCTGAACATTCTGGCAAATGAACTTATTGGCAAAATTCAAAATTCATACAAATGATCAGTTGTAAATTATTCACCTAGCTCTACCAAATGCACAGTGATATATTGATGATTAAAATATTGTGCTCTGTTGAAGCCAATAAATAAATATAAATAATAAAGAGCTCAGATAGATAGAAATGTCTAAAGCAATTCTGCCGGGGGTGTTCTAATGGCACTTTACAACCTACAAATTGTACAATTATTTAAAATCCTACAAAGCAGAGAGCTGACAAAATGTTTTACCCTTTATTAAAAAAATGGTCTGACTTTAGACATTTATCTAAATAAATGGAAATGGGCGGAATTAATAGTCTGTCCAAACCTAGACAGACCTAAAAATCCATTATGGAGCTCTGTCTGTCTTGCTGCCTGAAATATTTCTGATTGCAGCCTCAACTTAGCAATACTTGAAGACAATGGTTGCAATGCGGGAAGGGATCCAATATGCACTCTGAGCAAATGCAGTCTAGTTCTCCTCTGAGAGCTGAGAACAGCACATTAAAATGGAGGTCTGTGTATGGGTTTAAAAGAGAGAATGTGAAATTATCCTTGTCTTCATGGGACGTTGAATCATGCCCAGTTACATATTTTTCTGTTCAGTAGTAGAGTTCTTGTGAATTTTTCTTACTATGATAGTGCTATAAAAATATTTTCTTTCTCCAAACCTTTATTAGATATATTACAAATACAGACCATCTTAAAACATCCATATACATAAATTTCTCTCTCTTTCCCTGAATCTAATAGCTGAACTTGATTGGCTATATTTAAAAAATTGCATCTTTCTTATCTCTACTTATTTTGTAGATGTGGAGGTTTGCTGCAGTGGGATTAAGGAACTGTGACTTGGTTCAAGGAAACAGTAGATTTTGTTCCTCTTCTTTAGTTCTAGCACTGACTCCCAGATCAAACGTACACTCACCTCAACACCATACATTTAAATCACTCTTATATCGCTTTTAAACTCATGGCATCCCCAAAAGAATTCTCAGCACCCTTATGGACTACAGTCCTAGGATTGTTTGGGGAAAGCTATGGTTGTTAAAGTGGTATAAGACAGCTTTGAAGGCATGCCCTGAATGTGTCATGAGGCTTATTCACACATTGCAGATTTAGTAATACTGGCTTGTGTTCCAGAACACGGATACATACATTTAATCCATATGAGAGCACAGAAAAAAACACACTCTGGCTCTCTTGTCTTGCAGCACATTTATGCACTGTGTGTATAGATACTAAGATGTGTTTAGTTGCATCACACATTGCATTGTACAAGCGGGTATAGACAAAAACTATAATGAGTACTTAATGTACTATAGAGTGAAAATGGACTCTTGGCTAGTTTTTAATATAGAAAATCAGATATATTTTTTACACCTTCATGTCTTCCCTCAGTTTTTAGTGAGTGACTAGATAAAGAACATGCTTGGGCAGTTATAACCAGGTGAAGAGCAAGATGTTTACTTTGTTTTTTTTTAGATATTCTTGTGAATGAGTTTTGTATGTGGGAAAATGAAAAGTGACAGTGTTTTTTGCTGCTATGGCAACTACCCCAGTGGGGAAGACCTTGCACAATATCCAGCAGGTTGATCTTAGAAGTGCAGCTCCTCTACAGTGTTGATGGATTTCTTCTGGTTTGGCTTACACGACTACTGGTGCTAATCAGAACTACCTGAGTAATTTATTATGTCCTAGGTCTCCCTTTCTGTTATCTCCCCTAGCTTGTTAACTAATGCAAATTACTTTCTGAATGAATTGCTTAAACAAGCAGCAATCCATACGTCACTTCGAAAGGTTTTATTGCTCATTGCCTAATCATTATGGCTTGTAATCATA